TCCTTTTTATTTGACTCTAATGTTTAGATCCTCAGTGTCCTGGTGACATACTGTTTTGGGTTTCAACAAAAGGATTGCTAGAAAGTAAAGTTTATTGCTGCTGCTTTTACAAGGTGTACACTGTGTACATGTGATCAAGTAGTGTCAGGCACTTTAAAAGTGAATTATGATGATTGATAATAGTATCTGTGCATGAGGATTGTGGTGTGCATAGATTTTTCAATACTGATGAAAATAGTTGAAATCTTTCAGATAATAGTAATGTTAATATTTTCTGCAAATCCTGCCTATGAGGAGCAGGTTATTAGCGTATCCCAAATCTTGGGAAAGTTACTGTAATACTGTTTTTGTATTTTCTTGTTAATCTAACATGCAGTACTTTTTTGTGTCCATATTTCAGACGGCAACTCCAAACTAACATGGCAGTCAGACTGTGTGATGTGGCTTCTCTGCTTAGAAGTGGTTCGTGGGCAGCAGAGCCTTGGACTGGGGTCTGTGGGATTTTCATTAAATTTATATAGGCTTTCAGTATGAAGAGGCTATACCAAGACTAAATTGATGCTAGCTAATTACACATTCCCATGAGGATGTGTTCTATTGTACTGTTTTATAGACATGATCCTTACCAGTTCAAGGGTAGTGACACACATTAATTCTTGTTTTGAAAACTTTGTACAGACTGTTATGCGTCAAATAAAGTTCCAGGTTTTTATTTCCAGAGATTCAGTCAACATAATTGTGTGCTAGGTATTTGTGAAACCAGAAATTTTAGCAGAATAGTATTTTTTGTTTCAAATTCTTCTACAAATTGATTTTGGATACAACTGACAGTGGCTAAGAGTTGCCAAGACTGACGAGTTAAGGTGCCCATACACGTTACGATTTTCAGCCAAACCTTTTTTTGTCCGATGATTGGACCGTCGTACAATTTTCGTACGGCAGCCCCATCATGCCCCGATTATCGCACGATTATGTTGGCCGTAATTAACGAGAGCACCCGGACGAATTGCGGTAATTGCATTGCTGTATTTTTGTTAGCGCAAGCGCAGTGGAGATCGTACGATTTTTGACGGACGGAAACGACACTAACCTTGCGAAAATCGTACGATCGGGCAAAGTTTTCAAACATGCTTGAAAGACGAAAGTCGAACGCTTGTACAGTATTGTCGGTCGGCCACTACAATGCACACATACGGTTATCGGCCGAAAAGTCGATCGCATACGAAAATCAGACGATAATCGTAACGTGTATGGGCACCTTTAGACTTATCCAGGCAAGATGAGTCATGTCTTAGCCCTCGTTCACACCTGAACGTTTTGTAGCGCGTTCTACGCTCGACGAACGCTCTACAAAACGCTCAAAAATATAAATCCCATTGTATTCAATGGTCTTGTTCCCACCTTGGCGTATTTCCGCCCGTCCCTAACGCGCTACAAAACGGCCCACGCCTGAAAAGGTACAGGTACTACTTTGGGCCGTTTTGTTGCGCGTTTCCATTGGGATACAGCCAAGTAGCCTTCGGAAACGCACGACGGTCGCGGGACTTTTGTACCGCGAATCGCGGTAAAAAAACGCGCGACGGTCGCGCATATGCAATACGCCTAGGTGTGAACGAGACCTTACAGATGCAGCTTGTGGCAAGTGTGACAGGCTCTGTTAATCTATGGTCAAATGGGAGGGTCATACAGGTCAGGTAAATGCACCAAGCCATTGCCATACACAGGAGCTTCAGTGTCAATGCACTTTAGTGCTCTGTGGGAATTTGCAAACCTGTTTTATCAGTTCATATGAATCGAGCATTCTACATGTTACAGCATGTCTGCAGTTGTCAGATCTGCAAGATAGCCTTCTGAGCAAGGGCTTATGTGGGGTCTGTTGCAACTTTTTCCACAGGTTTAAAAATAAACTTTCTACTAATTTGATAGCAGAGGATAGGTGTGACACTACTCTTTGAATCTGCAAAGGCTTTCATTTTGTACTTCCACTAAATGTTTTGGTATTGTCTCAAAGACCTTTTGTGCGTGTTTTTTTTTTATTTCTGTTTTGTATTCTAAAATGCATTTCTTCTAATTGGGTGCTGTGCCAGTTACTCAGAACTGTAGTTATCTGCACCTACTGTGTGAACAGTTTTGTTGATCCTACCAAAGGAATATATTCATTACTCTGTTAAACTTCAATAGGAGTGTCATTTTATTCAGAGCAGATGGTCCTGTAGCTGAGCAATGCTATTATTTCAGCACACCCGGCCTAGTGCAGCTGTTCACGTGCATTTCGGCTTAATATACCATTTGTGCCACCTGAACACGATTAAATGCTGAAAATGTTTTGCTGGTCCAGTTGTATATATGCAGAATGTACAAAAAAGTGCAATTACCCATCTAACCAGTTGAGATATATTGCATTTACTGATTCTAATAACTAAAAACTGGAATCAGATTGGTTGGTTGCTGGTAATGACCATTTAAGTGAACCTATGCCCAGACTATGCAGTATGTTTATCGTATGACTTAAAAGCAGAACTCCAGCCAAAAATGAAAAACAAGTAGCATATTAAAAGATAAAATACCAAAACCAGCTTTTGCTGCAACATTCATTTGCAATTCAGGGGTTTCCCATGCCATACTTTCTGCCTCTAGATGTTGGCCCTGATGGCCAGCATCACTCAACCTACTTTCTCGGTGTACAGTTTTTCCTGGCCCTGCCCTAGCCTTTGACTGGACAGAGAAGGGAGAAGCAGCACAGTGATGAACTCATCTGTCACTCTCTCTTCCTATCAAAATGTTTCTTGGCATACAACCAGATTGGCTACTTGGCTAGACATTGTGGATCAATTCACCTAAGTTCACAACAAAGGCATGGAAATCTTTTTTTTTTTCTAAAACATTTGGTTGCCCAAAAATGTAAACACACAACAGGTGTTCCAAAGCTACTAGAAATCACTGAAAACTGACTTGAGTTTTTGTTGCGATCTTTGAGGCTATTTGAGAATGAGTTACTTCACAGTATATGCTGCTACACTGGCCAGAGATGGCTTGTTATAAAGGTCTTTTAATGCTTCAGGGGTGTGGATTTAAAAAAACAAAAACATTGTCAAAGGTCTAAAGCTGGGGCCCAATCTACTTGTCCCTTAGGACAATCTACTTGTCCCTTAGGACAATCTACTTGTCCCTTAGGACAATCTACTTGTCCCTTAGGACAATCTACTTGTCCC